CCCACCCCCACCCCCTCGGGTTTCCGAGTCATCAGGGAACGCGAGTGGGTGAAAGGACTCGGTGCTGCTGCATCCCGAGCCACCGCCTCCTCCTGCGCCTCCTCTGAGCCGCCTCGGGTTCAGCACTGGACAGCTCCCGCCCCAGCCCAACAAATGGCAGTCGGCTGATTGACACAGGAGTCGACCAAACAGAGAACAAGACGGCTTGAAGCCGCCCTTCAAGGGTTTGGTTGAGGCCAAGCTGCCTCTTTAAACCGGCTTTTCTCCAGAGCAGGGGAGACAGGAGTGTGGTTTGTGGCCAAACCTAAGGGCTCCAGTTAACCAGCTTCCTGGTCCTATAAACTCCACAGAGACTAACGTCCTAAAAGAAATCTTTGCTCTTCGGGACTCGGTCCTGCGCTGGCGGTGCGAGTCTGTGTGCGCGCACTCCGCGCCTCGCGGCGAAGCGAACGAGGAGGAGCCAGAGCCGGGAGGCGGGAACGACCTGCCACGGGTGAGATGATGGAGCAGCGTCTTTGGCGGCCGCGGCGCCAGCAGCAGCAGCAGCAGCAGCAGCAGCAGCAGCAGCAGCAGCTCTTGAACACACCTCAATGAGAGCGACAGTGGAAGCTGCTGAGCAGAAAGACGTAAGCAGGCTAACTATAGCCGCCGGGAGAGAGAGGGGATGTAACCTGTTCTGCTCAAGGCTGTGAGGTGCGTAATCCCGAGCCGACCCATTATCGAGCGGGTGCAGCCAGCGTTGCCACAGGTGATTTGATTTCCTGTGACGGTAGCTTAGCCAGCCGGGACAATTCCAAAACATTCTTATTTTAAAGTCCTTTTCGGCCACCTGGAGAAGGGGGACGACTCCTAGGAAAAGTCCTACTGTTGATAAATTGACGACCAAAATTTAAAAAGTGTCTCCTCCCGTCACCTCCTCTCCTCTCTGCGAAGCAGATTGGAACCATGGCTTATCCCTTACTCTTCTGCCTCCTGCTCGCTCATCTGGGATTGGGAACTGCTAGCGCCAGCCGCGACCCTCCGGGACGGCTGGATCCCCCTAGAGATAGAACCCTGAGGCTGAAGCAGCACGCCCAGCAGCCGGCTCGAGCCTCTGCCTCGGATTCCTCGGCTCCCTGGAGCCGCTCCACCGACGGCACCATCTTGGCGCAGAAACTCGCCGAGGAGGTGCCCATGGACGTGGCCTCTTACCTCTACAGCGGGGACTCCCACGAGCTGAAGCGAGCCAACTGCTCCAGCCGCTACGAGTTGGCGGGCCTGCCGGGGAAGTCGTCAGCCCTAGCCAGCTCCCATCCCTCCTTGCACGGGGCACTGGACACGCTGACACACGCCACTAACTTCCTCAACATGATGCTGCAGAGCAATAAGTCGCGGGAGCAGAACTTGCAGGACGACCTGGAGTGGTACCAGGCACTGGTGCGGAGTCTCCTGGAGGGCGAGCCCAGCATTTCCCGGGCAGCCATCACCTTCAGCACCGAGTCGCTGTCCGCGCCGGCCCCGCAGGTTTTCCTCCAGGCCACCCGCGAAGAGAGTCGCATCCTGCTCCAGGACCTGTCCTCCTCGGCACACCACCTGGCCAACGCCACGCTGGAGACCGAGTGGTTCCACGGCCTGCGGCGCAAGTGGAGGACCCACTTACACCGCCGCGGCTCCAATCAGGGGCCCCGGAGCCTGGGCCATAGCTGGCGGCGCAGGGACGGGCTTGGCGGGGACAAGAGCCATGTCAAGTGGTCTCCACCTTATCTGGAGTGCGAGAACGGGAGTTACAAACCCGGGTGGCTGGTCACTCTCTCCGCTGCTTTCTACGGGTTGCAGCCTAACCTGGTCCCGGAATTCAGGTAGGGAGGGGGGGAAAAGCAAAAGCAAAGTCTTCCTTCCGGTGTCTCATGTGGGGAAGGAACACTTGGCTGTGACTCTTAACGCCTCCCACCCCTCCCAGCGGAGACCCAGACTGAGGGACACCTATCGCGGGCGCCTGTGCTTAGGGACAAGAAGCGCCCTAGGTTTGTCAGTTCAGTGAAAGCTTCTCTCAGATCAGTTTCCCTGCAAGGGGCAGGGGACTGGGGAGCATTTGTCAGAGTTGAGAGAAATCTCGGGGGATGCCCTGTGGTTCATTTCAGCCCACGGGAGAGCAGGGAGGGTATTTCCCTTTCTGGGGTGATCGGAGGGAAGCTGGAGAGCTCGGGTGTGCCGGTGAGGCACAGAGTGGCCAGCATTGGATGAGGAAGAAAAGGGAACAGGAGGAAGACAGAGTTGCTCGGTTCTGCCACTTAGGGGTAGCCTCTGCCTGCTTTCTCTGTGCGAGGTTCAGGATACCCGTCTGCTGTTAGTTACCAGAGTATATCCCCTCCGCAGTTTTATCCCTTCAGCAGTGAGTCAGTCTCAGCAGCATAGTTGTCTCCAGGATCCACTTTGCAGTTTGATCAGTGTGCTCCTTCTACCCACCTCTCTCCTCCCCCTAGTCTCCCTTCCTTGGTCCCCTCTTTGTCCTGTTCTCTGTGTCAGGCATACCTGAGGGTTCTCTAGTCCTTCACATACTCATACACTTTATAAATGAACTGGATTGAGTTATCTTAGGGAGGAAGGGATTAGTTCAGACTGAATTCACTCAGGGAGCTTGGAGGAAATTTAATAACAGTTTTTCTGTATTTCCTGTCTAAAGGTATAGCATTTGTGGGGAGATGAGAATTTGCAAAATAGTGGGGGTAACTTCTGCCCTGGGAAGTACCTGACCTTTCTGCTGAGGAACTTCTAAGAACTAGCACTTAAGAATCAATGTGAGGAAGGAACAGAAAGGGAAGAGTAAAAATTCCAAAGAGAGCCTTGGAGAGAGCCACAGAATGACTGGGATCCTCCCCAATTTCCATGTTGGGAGGTTCTGGCAAGAAGGTCTTGGGCATTGAGGTTGCTTCTGTATTGTTTAGGAACTTAGGCAAAAGTGAGAAACCTCTGTGTGCGAGTGCCTTGATGCTCTGTTTGGCACAACAAGGACAGGATGCTGACCTGGGGAAAGATACCAGGCTGAGTCCTGGGTGGGCAAAAGGGGAAATCAGAAAGCTTGTCTTGGCAGTGTCATGTCCTGCTGAATGAACCCCAATGAGTTGTTTAACCTCTCTGGGCCTCAGCTACTTAACTACCAAATGAGGGAGTTGAAGTAGATGGTCTCCAGGGAGCCATCCAGTTATAAAATTCTGTAGCTTTTGGTGCAGCAATACTTGAGAATATATATACAGATAGCACCCCCCCCGCCATGTGACTACATTAAATGTGTGTGTATGTGTGTGTGTGTGTGTGTGTGTGTGTGGTGTGTGTGTGTGGGTACACGCACATGCATGTGTTTCTGTCTCTCTTAAAGATCTTGTCTTAAGCCAGAGTAACTCTTTCCTACTTTTAGGATAATCTTATTTCCTCCTGATTTCTGCAGGATCCTATTAGTAAGAGCTGAGCACAGCTTTGAGTCTTTGCCATAATGTTTGCTAGAAGAGGAAAGATCAGCAGATGCCATTCAGTGCCAGAAAATTGTTTGTGGCCTTCAGATAAGTCTTTTTAGGGAGTCCCAGTTCCCAGGATCGATCTTTCTTTTTTTTCTTTCTTTTCTCTTTCTTTCTTTCTTTCTTTCTTTCTTTCTTTCTTTCTTTCTTTCTTTCTTTCTTTCTTTCTTCTTTCATCTATCATCATCATCTATTTACCTATCTATAACGTTTACTTTCTGTCAGATTCTGTGGTAACTGCTTCACATGCATTATCTTGATTAATTTTCATGACCCTATGAATTAGGTTTTATTATTTTTTTAGTTTTTAGTTCATTTAGTTTTATTTTACAGAAAAAGTAACCTGAAGCGGGAGAGGTTAAGCTTTTTTCCTGAGCTCCCACAGCAGGTAAGTAGTACAGCTAGGATCTGAGCCCTTTTCATACTTTTAACCACTATGTTAAACTCTGTTTTATGAAGGTATTCTAAGAATGCTGCATATAATAGAGCTGCTACACAAAAATATATGTATTTTCAAAGGTCAGATGTGGGTCTAGGGGGATAGCCATTCATTTTCAGAATCATTTCTCTTAAGGCTCAGAAAGCATGAGTCACCTAAATAAACTCAGTGCCTTCTGCCAGCTAAGATGAAAAGCTGAGAACACAAAGGGTCTGAGATTGTGAGGGCTCACACACCCCCTACCTATTTTTTTGGACTACATTCAGAAAATTGTTTCCTCTGGCTAAGTTTCTTTAAGTGCTTTCACAGTCATCAATGGTACTCTTTAGCCAAGGCACAAAGCCAGGCCATTTAGTATTTGGCTCTCTACGAAGCTGGTTCATCCTGGCAGCATGTGTGAAGAGCAGAATAAGTGCACTCCTGAAGTGCCTTTGCTCGATGTCTTGCACCCCTTAAATGCACAAGATGTTAATTATAGGAACTAGAAGAAATCTTCTAAAGATCAGATGGACCCTCCTGTTGTTTCATAGATAAATAGCACTAAAAAGGTGAAGTGACTTGTCCAAAAATCATAAATCAATAGAGTAATGACAGAACCAGGATCCAGGTCTTCTGCTTCTGGTTTACACTATACTTGATATTTATGTACCTAAATCCTATTTCTGTGGCTCTCTTAACCCCTGCATACAACGCATGCTGGGGGACATAGTTTACTCTTCATCATCTTTTAGGACAAAAAAAATTGGCTCATAGAACACAGCTGTTGATTTAAAAAAATATAGTGTTCATTTCACACATTTGAGATACTATTTAAATGGGCCTTTTCTGTCTCTTTCTAAAAGGCAAAGTGTTTTCTTTTTCTTTTTTTTTTTTTTGGTGGTGGTGTTTTATGATATACAATATGCATTCTACATTCTGTAATACAGGTGAATAATATTGTACAGACATGTTTACAAGGTAAACCTCAAATAAATTTTTGGACAGCCATGATTAAGAGCTCTACACATGAGTTAAAATGTATTTTGAACGTCCACAATGTTATTTGCCAAAAGCCTTATCTGTAATGGAAAATCCATTGATACAAATTTTCTTATGGAAGAGGAAAGGAAGAAAAATGTGGTTAAAATTTCCATTTAAGATAAGTTAGTATTTTCTCACATCTTGCATGTAATAGTCAAACGTTTAAACATTTTATTTTTAGAGGATTAAATCCCAAACATGAAATTCAAAAGTAATGTGAGAACATGGTTAACCACCTTCTTATATTAATGTTTATCATTATAAAATACCTCTCCGAGTAAATTTTATTCCCCTCTGCTTCAGAATGACACAAGTATCTTAAGTTTAAAAGCCTGGCTTAAGACTCACATGGGAAGAGAAATTTATTGCTCATTTCTTTTTTTTCAAAAAATGGCATTAGTTGCTTTGACCAAATGTCCCTTGGGTCTTTTGTCCTATAGTGTAAATATTTTAGTTCTCATATTCCATCTCAGCAAAAGAGAGAGTAATAATTTAAGATATATCCTCAGTTGTTTATATTTATTACATTAGGTTTGTGATGTCTTTGTAGAGTTTTCCTTAAAGTTAACTCTTTGGTTTTGCATAATAATTTTTCATTGAGGAACTGGAAGTGCTATGGAGTTGGATCCCATTATGCTGAAATCATAGATATCTTCCCAGTGGTACTTTGTACTGTTCAGTGCTTAGGATGGATATAAGGTGTTGAATTTATATTAAGGTAAAGGAACCTTGGGAACTAATTATTTTTTGATGAGCTAAAAGAGACTTAGGAATTCACTTGGTTTCTTTCATCTTCTCAATTTGCAATGGAGGCAACAAGACCCAAAGGGCTAAAGGAACTTGCTAGAGTGGCACAGCTCTTTTGTGGTAGGTTAGAATTCGTGGGAACAAATAATATTTAGCACCTACTATATATCAGATGCTTTATATATACCATTGAATGTAATTGTATTTTCAGCTAGTGACAACTTCAGGCAAGTTGAGCAACCTGCCCAAGGGAACACAGCTAGTAAATTAGGGAGCCCAAATCAAGTTTAGGTCTATCTAGCTATGAAGCTCATACTGTCTTTCCGCCATCCTATACTGTTATCTCTTGTTTACCAACTTTATTTTCACCTTGTTACTTAAAAATATAACATAGTAATGACTTGAAATAATATATTTGGCCCAAATAAGTCAAACACACTTATTACTTTTAGGCCAACCACACAACCAAGTATGTCGTATAGTAAGAAGAGTATTAGACTTGACAGAACTTTGCCTCAAGTCCCAGTTTTGTCTCTGACTGGCAGTATTACCTGTCTGGAGATCAGCTTCTTCATAATTAAAATGTGGGAATGGAGTTTATGCTATCCAAATATCTTTATAACTCTGTTTTCTATGTATTCTTAATTGGTCTATCCAAATCGTCAACAAGTAGGCTCTGGAAACAGGAATAATACACATAAGTGCGGTACCTTGTGGAAATGATATTGCTGGGGAAGTAACATGTAGAGGAAGAGGAAACCATGTGAATGTCAGACTTGATGTTGATAAAAAAAAAGCAATAGGGCAATGAAGGAAAGATCACAATAGTGTGGAAACCCCTTTTTATAAACTAACGCAGCAAACGTTGATGTCACTGATTTGCTGACTCCTGAGGGATCACTTCACTCTTTCCTTTACATCCTATACGCATATACCTCCATCAGTGATTCTGGTACAGATCTCTGCATTCAACTAGAGAGGGAAGTTCACAGTATAAAAGAAATGACCATCTTGCTCCAAGCTAGACATATCTTACATCCCTCTTGTGGATAATCCCTCTTGTGGTGAAAAGAGGTTGCCTGTAGACAGCAGAGATGCCTACCTGGGTTATATATCAAAGAGTTTTTAGATGAACTTCTGC